TCATACTACCCACAACGTTTAAACTACACATGCCGCCACCTGCAATTGCATACCTAATTACCGTCACCGCTATTACCGCAAGCATGTCAAAATAACATGTCGCTGCGTAACATTGACACCATCACTCCAATCAGTGCGCCGTACTTTGTGTGTCGCGTATCTGAACAGCCACGCCGTAATTATCGCTCGGACATAACCATGTACCTTCTAAATGTGTATTCCTCATCACCCTTCCTGATGTTGATAACACGAAACTCACTCGATGTCTTGTTGCTGCAAAAGTACCGATGCATTGCGCCAGCTGGCCCTATTTCCGACTGTCTATCCACTGCGCGTCTGCCTATCTGGAATATTTTTGTTACACTGTTCCAATAACAGGATATCGCCATTTCACGGTTCGCATAATTAATCGTTAGACGGGGTACCTTCATCTCACATTCCCTCGATGACCGCGAAAGCAGCACCTCGGTCGTTCGGTTTGTCTCTCAGTTCATACTTGTGCAGAAGTAGGTGTGCAGAAGATACGAGTTGAGTTGATAAGAAATCGGTCGCACCGAAGAGCCGGCATTGCTGCTTTGCATGTAGATCATGCACTGTCCATGGTCTGTCCGCTCCATTCCAGCCGAAGTACTGACAGCGCGCGCTCAGGGTCAGAGCTGAGCAGTGTACGACCCTCCCGCAACCGCGGGCTGCCGCTCGTTATCTGGCACCGATGTTGCATCTGATTCTGATCGGCCATCACCTGTTGATAGCAAGATATGTGCACCGGAGCCAACAGCTGTGAACACAAGCATAGTCACCTTTTCCCCTCCCTGAGACCTGTTGATGAAATGGGGTAGGATAGATACGGAAGTCGATCATACTTTTTCAACTGCCCTTTCTTTCAAGCTGTATATCCAAAAGCTACCCTGTGGTGTGCAGATAGTACAGCGATAAAACCACACCAGGTGTATCTTTACTTCCTAAGGTTATGTAAATGCGTGGGCACGCCATCACCTTGACGCGCTGAAACGCACAATGACCTCTCAGCGTCCGCGCTGGTCCGCGCCGCTCGCTTCTTGAGGCCATGGGTCATGGAACTCTGGAAATGCGTAATTATGGAGATGCCCCGGGGGAGAGGCACTGCTCTTCTGCTAGGAACACTGTCAGACCGGGGAGGTGCCGAGCGAGAGAGAGGGAGAGAGAGAGAGAGGGTGAGATAGAGAGACGGAGAGAGAGAGAGAGAGAGAGAGAGAGAGAGAGAGAGAGAGAGAGAGAGAGAGAGAGAGAGAGAGAGAGAGAGAGAGAGAGAGAGAGAGAGAGAGAGAGAGAGAGAGAGAGAGAGAGAGAGAGAGAGAGAGAGAGAGAGAGAGAGAGAGAGAGAGAGAGAGAGAGAGAGAGAGAGAGAGAGAAAGAGAGAAGAAGAGAGAAGGAGAGAACAAGCGTTCGTCTGTCATTCTGTCACTGTCATTTGTTTCTCTGTTCCGTGAGGTGTGCTTTGCGTTATGCCCTTATTGTACTCGCGATTATCTGCAGCCAGGAACCAATTTTCTCACATTCCGGTGGCATGGTTGCATACGATTGCGTCCGATGGATTGTATCATTACATTTGTCAGCTGCTCTTCTGTGGTTGATTCTCATGGCTTTCGCTGTTGCAATATGCGGAATCGGTTGCCCTGGGTGCCCCAGCGGATATATTTTAGAGCAAAATATCGAACTAACGCGTTGGCGTCTACCTGCCTCACGCCGGCGTTATTTCACGGATCTTTGTCTCGTTGGAGATGAGCTAAGCTCCTCTATCAGCGTTCTGCCGTTTGGGCTGATCTACGGCCGTTCTGAAAATGTCGACCTCTCCGGCCGCGCCCCCGGGGGAGCTCCTGGGGCGCGGAGAGGGCCGCCACCGGCCGCTGTCTCTCCTAGTGTCTCCGAGTGTCTCCGTGGGGACTCTCCGTCGAGCCGCTTATTGACACGGCTATCTTGTCGGTCCGACTGGCGCACTGAAGGGTTTTCAGTCGTCACATTCAGCCGCCGAGTCGGCTAAATACACACGGCTGCCGCCGGGCCGGTCCGTCCGCGGCGCTCGGCTCCCACGCCGGTCGGCCGCCCACGGACCGCCGCCTCCCGGCGTCATTCTGTCGACTGATCGGGCCGATTGGACCGGATGGATTCAGCCGGCCCCCGGCGGGGGGGGGGGGGGGGGTGAACTGGCCGGCGGCGGCCCGACTGTTCCCCCGACCGACACCGGACGCCCGCCGACTCAGCTGGTTTTGTCACATTTGGCGACATCCGCGGCCATCCGGGCACAATTCGGAGCGCCCCGTCCGGATGGAATCGTCTCTGATGACGCAGCGGCCGTGAACGAGAGATGACGGCGCCCGGGGTGGTGGAGAGGTCCCCGGGGGCTGGTCGACATCCTCTGGCAGCTTTACACACCCTTCTTCGCCGTTCGTAGCAAATTTGAAGAGTTGTCGGCAGGCTGTTTCTCTGTCGGAGATGATGTGCGCATACGCGTTTTCGGAACAGACTTTTGCCGAGTATCTGTTTGGCACGCCAAGATAAACTTGATTTTTTTTAAAGCGAATGCAGGTGCCGACGAGGGATGCATTGGATTGGCGCACTGTTACACCCGATCTCTAATAAACCTCGCATCTCACGTGCTGTACCATGTCGACAGACCCGTCTGGTATTCAGTTGTGCACGGGATCACCGCTTCTAGGAGACGCTACAATGTGATGACCCGGGAAGCGTGAATTCAAGCGCAATATGAACGCAGGCGTGGGCAAATCCGGGTCTCAGCCGGCCGCTCAGCGTTTCAGGCTTTGACATCCGTTTACGGAGCCGAAACGAAGCCGTTTTTATGCCAGTCAGTATAACGAGTTATAGGTGGTATGTACCAGTTTTTAAAGCTGTGAGGGATGAGGAAAAAATTTGGACAAGGATATGTCCAATAGTAAGGATGCGTCCAATAGGCTCAATAGTTGCTATCAGTGGGTTGGGTCAGATTGCTTTCATGGCCAGAAAACCGTACACCTTTCTGAAACTACGGCTGTTGAGTGTGATGCATTGTTTCACTAGTTCTGTGGTCGGATATGCATCTGTTTGAAGTCTGCTGGGGCCTGCGCCGTGGCCTTTTTTCCCAAGGCGGCCGATTCCATCTTTCATCTGTTGACTGTGTGCGTTCGCATCACAATTCTCGATTTATGCCACTTTCCCCGGGGCGTTACATGTTGAGTATGCTATTCTTTTTTATTCGTTCTACCTTGATCTACTTTCGACCTCGGTATAAAGTCTATGGATCTACATATCAAACTCGGAGTGTTGCATGTTTGGTGGAGAAAGATGCCGGCCGTACGTCCATCCTCAGGGCTATCAACTCTCCATTTACCTGGTCACAAAAGTATTGATGTTTTCTTTGACATTATCATTGGTGATGTCTTCGACTGATCAGTTAATGCAATTTTTTTTTTATTTATGCTTTATTAACATTTTAAGGGGCGAAAGATGAAGTTTATCTTAATTTCCAAATGTGATCATGTTGAGCCAGCTACAGATACAGACCACCTTTCATTGGTGCCCCGGGTGACCGGCCTGCTTCGTCAGATATCATCGCTCCTGACCGGACGAATAGCCCCGCGATCGACTGTAAAGCCATTCGCTGATTCTCTGGGGCGCGGTCCGTATTCGTTTCAAAGTTACGGCGTTCATGATACACTTGTTTGGCAACTTTGTGCCTCGTTTAAAAGCCGAACACCCCCACCTTAACACGCCGAGTGGAAGGTTGGGGTATTTTTACAGGTGGTCTGCTGATTTTGGCGGACCGCCGGGAAACGTGACATTGGTGTTCAGCAGAACGATTGTGGTGACGTATGAATTGTGGATGTCCATAGGTGTCGCGTGTTTGGGGCCTAATACACCTGTTAACCCTCGCCCGCACATGCCATTTTCCCATCCTAGAACGCACATGGGGGGGGGGGGGGGTGGTTGCCACCCCCCCGCGCCATTTCGTTCCTGTTGGAGATAGAGCTTAGCGGTAAAGACCAAAAAGATTCTTTGGGAAGAGACGAATCCAATGATACCCAGTTTTACCTTCTCAGATCAGTCATTGACCTTCCAGGTCAGGTCAAGCTAAAAAATGTTGCTGTTTTGGGTCACCGTTGGATATCAAGTGGGCTGCTTAGCATATTCCGATGACGATGCCGTTTTCTGGTGCCAAGCCAGCTAGAACCTCTTTGTCACACTACCCGACCAGATTTTTGTTGCTGAGGTCATTTCAGGTCAAGCTAGGTCAAGGTCATTTATATGTGTTTGTATGTCTGTGTGTGGCTGTGTGTATACTGATGTGTACACCGATTGTTTATGTGTCCATATTACATGAAATCATGATCTGATAAGCTTTTACCAGAAATGCAGTCAAAAAAATTCACAAAAAGTAAATTTAGCTTGCCTAAAACGCAATTATCTTAGATGACCTAGGTTGACCTTGACCCTGACCTTGACACCTGTACATCGTCGAACAACATGTTCCATGATAGGTGGGAGGTAAGACTGGCAAAAAAGGCCGAAATCAAGGTGTCAAAAGCTCACAAGGCCCATAGCAAACGCAAGATGTTGAGAATTGGCCATTTGGGTCATGACATGACCTGAAAAACAAGGTCATATCTCCGAAACCAAAAGTCACAGAAACTTGAAATTTTCAGTGAACATCAAGAAAGGATAGAGGAGCAGCTATACGAAAAATCAGCCTTCTAGCTCTAAAAATGTCGAGTGCAGAGCAGAAAGACTACCTGGGGGGGGGGGGGGGGGTGGTGGCAACCACCCCCCCATGTGCGGGCGAGGGTTAACTCAGGGACAAAATGCTGTGAACAATAACTATACATGAGATATTTGAATGCTATATTGTTGTGTGAGCATCAAGGCAGTCACAACCGTAACCACAAGTTCATCCGTCGATAATGACACCCGATCTTTCAATTGATTTTTATACACATTCACGCATTCGCCCTCCTCCCGCTCGTCGCCAGGTTATTCCTGCGCCCGGACATGCGTATCGTACGGGACCTGGCGGCGGCTGCCGACTCCCAGTCTCAGGTGGACCTGGATGGCAGCGTGGCCGACTACGACTACGATAACGACAGGGATACGGCCGACTACTGTCCCGATGTACCGCTCAGTGTGAGTTATACAGATACAGGGGGAGTGAGACAGAGACACGGCAGACGTCTGTCCCGATGTGCCGCTCAGTGTGAGTTATACAGATACAGGGGGAGTTAGGCAGGGACACGGCCGACTACTGTCCCGACGTGCCGCTCAGTGTGAGTTAGCCAGGGGAGTTAGCCAGGGGAGTTAGACAGGGGGAGTTAGGCAGGGACACGGCCGACTACTGTCCCGATGTGCCGCTCAGTGTGAGTTAGACAGAGGGGAGTTAGGCAGGGCCAGGGGGAGTTAGGCAGGGATACGGCCGACTACTGTCCCGATGTGCCGCTCAGTGTGAGTTGTACAGGGGGAGTTAGACAGGGGGAGTGAGACAGGGATACGGCCGACTACTGTCCCGATGTGCCGCTCAGTGTGAGTTAGACAGAGGGGAGTTAGGCAGGGGGAGTTAGGCAGGGACACGGCCGACTACTGTCCCGATGTGCCGCTCAGTGTGAGTTAGACAGAGGGAGTTAGGCAGGGCCAGGGGGAGTTAGGCAGGGATACGGCCGACTACTGTCCCGATGTGCCGCTCAGTGTGAGTGTGAGTGTGAGTGTGTGAGGGGAGTTAGGCAGGGACACGGCCGACTACTGTCCGGACATGCCGCTCAGTGTGAGTTATACAGAGGGAGTTAGACAGGGACACGGCAGACGTCTGTCCGAACTCGCCGCTCAGCGTGGGTTAACAGTGTATTATCACTAATGCGAAGTGTAGACTCGGCGCTTGCAGGGTGCAAAGTAACCTTCATGTGGAAAGTCTTACCTAAAGTTGTACAAAGAATAAACACCATAAACACGGTTGGGCATCTGGTACTCAAGGGAACACAATCTTCATAGTGTCTGTCAGTCTTTTTCAGCCATCGCCCCGATGCTCACCCATCCCTCAGCCGAACCCCACCGTCCGTCTGACCGCACCGCTCCGTCCCCAGGAGGGCTGCGACGACTACGACCAGGAGGCGACGTTCCTGCCGTCGGGCGGCGCGTGCGACGCCAGTGAGCTGCTCTCCTCCACACAGGTGGTGCTGGACACACCGGGCGGACTGCTCATCGGGGACAACCTTGTGCAGGCGCCGAAAAAGGTGAGCTAATGAGCCTGCGGTCCGCAGTGGTCGGGAGGATGGGAATGGGGGGGGGGGGGGGGGGTGTAGTCAGGTCAGGATGGTGATCCGCTAGCTCGATTATTTGAAGGTAGGATCGATACGCTAACCTGGCTGGACGCAATGGTAAACTTGATTGTTTCTTTGAAACCAGATGTTTGTGTGGATTCTTCCTAAATTTGACATAATTACTCTCACGGTGACTATACTCTTACAGGATATCCTGTATGTGTTTTTCATTACACTGAAACGCATCCTATTGTCTATAGTTTTCGGTGTGTTCGGTGGTTAATTTTCGAGCGACAAGAATGTCTGTAATTTGCGCCCGATATTTTTGCCGTCCCATGACCGGTAGTTATTTTTGTTCCAAGCCGGACCCGAGTGTCCGTCTATCACAATCCATCTCTCCTCACTCGATAGCCCCATTTCGTGTTCGATTTCGCCGCTGTTCGCTCCGGCGCACCCGCGCCGCGTTCGGCCCACGTTGATCGGTCGCTGTTCCGTGTCTCAGGTGGAGAGGATCCTCATTCCGTACGCTCGGACGGCCAAGAAGATGGACATGCGGAAGCTGAAGGCGGCCATGTGGGAGATCCTGGCGGACAGAGGAAATGACGACAAGGTGGGTACTTTGTCTCAGTGGACTGAGACTCGTGTTGAGTTTGACCGATACGGTGCAGTATGGATGAAGGCCAAGCGTTTGTTGTAGTTAGTAAGGTATTACATGCTGTGGGGTCACTGGGAAATGAAAATGTGTTACGTGCCCCTGTTTCTGTGTATCCTTTAGATATCTGCTCCATTGCGTGTAAGGCACAATCACAGAAGCGCCTGTGTCACGGCCTCCCCCTCGGTCCCGCAGGAGAACGCCACCACTCCGTCCCGTAGCGTGCTGAAGGAGGCGGTGATGCCGCCCGGGCGCGACTACAGTTTCCGAGAGCTGTACCACCGTCTGCCCAGCCACATGTCGACCAAGATGGCGGACAACCTGAGCGTGGCGCTGGCGTTCACGGCTCTGCTGCACACGGCCAACGAGAGGTGTCTGAGGATCACCGGCACGCGCCGGATGGAGGACTTCTTCATAGCGCAGGACACGCCGTGAGAGAGTCGGCCAGTGCCGGGCGGAGTTTCGGGAGGAGTTGTGTTGTAAGTTACGATCCGGGTGGGGGGTTCCGATGTGTGAAAGGGAGATGCGAGGAGAATGGATGTACAAAGTGATATGTTTAGGTTCGTATGGATAAGCGGATGTCTGTATTGTACGTTGTCGGTAGTGTAGCATACCGTGCTGGGGTTTCGGTCGGTGGTGTCGCCTGTACGGCCTCTCACCGGACAGTGCCCGTCTGTCGCCGAGTGTCCGCTCTCCAAATGTACAGTCTTCCATCTCTAGCCGGCCCCGGCGGACGGACACAGGCCGATCGACACGGTGTTCGTTCAGTTATATTATCCCCGCGACCGCGGCCGCCGGGGCATCATTGACAGTGAGGCCGTAAGACGGCGCTAGCGTTCACACTCATCATCACACTCATATTCAGATTCCCCGACCCCTGGTTTTTGTTGGGTCGGCGTTTGTATGCACTAACAAGCAACAGACCTTTTAACACAATGGGCGCGCCGCAGTAGAGGTTTTAGTGGCGCTCGTGTATCGCAGTATAGTATATATTCTCTCGCACACTAACCGCTCGACAGAGTACAGCCTCCGCCAGGGAAAGACGCTGCGTGTACAGTGCTGGCGTGCCCTCCTTCCGCGTCTCTGCTTTGTCCATCACCGACGGGCCGCCCTACCCACCGTTGGCCGTTCGTTTATCGTCTCACGGCATTTCGGCGGGCCTCGGACCGACCTCCGGCGAATACACGAGCTGCCCGTAGCGACTGTGTTTTGGCGGCCGGCCGGCAAATAGGCAGGAATTCATCGTCATATAACATCCCAGCGGGTGGGTTTCTAGTGCGCGCGCCGCGCCGCTCTCTCTCCGTCAGGTACTAGTCTGGCTAGGGGCGGTGGCGCCGGCGGGCGCGCTGACTACGGAAATATCACTGGACTATAGGCGCGACGACCGGCGGCCGGTGGCGGGAGGTCACTCGCCCTCCGACTCGTTATCCGAGCTGGCCTCGTCGGCGGCCGCTGGCAGCTTGGTGGGGAACACCGGCCCCGTCACCGGGCTGTCAAAAAACAGGGGGGGGGGCGGTGTCAGAGGTGAGAGGTAGGAACACACGGCACGCCACATTTTGTATCGGCAAGCAGTCGTAGTTGCGATAGGAGAAAAGCAGTTCTGGAGACCAATCTATGCCCTAACAAATGACAAAACCATGAACGACACCTATCCGTGCTTCTATCCTCAGGATACTGAAATCCTTCTCCTCCACGCCACAACCCCCCACCGGGCTGGACAGGCAACTTTATCTCATGCGGGCTGCTCCCTTGGAGCGGCACCGCTGCTCCCGAGGGAGCGCACCCCGTAGCCGGGTGCAGTGAGTGCCTTGGGGCTGGGTGGCCTGTCCTCTGGACGGGCTCAGCCCCGGCGACTCACTAGGGTGCCTGCCCAGACCAATGTCTCCCCCTAATTCCTATCATCCTTCCGGCTCTGCAATGGTCTTGTCGACCGAAAGGGCCTAACCCAACAAAACAAAACAAAACAAAAAACCATGAACGATCGGTGAAACCGATTACCATCAGCCTTGATTCATGCTGCTTACTGGTAAATGATCGCAACACCCATACATGAACGTAACACCCATCCCTTCGACAATCACATTCGCTGGAATCACGGTCAGAAATGAACGACTACAGCTGACCCCACACCACCAGCTCTCACCACATGCGTCTGTAGTAGTTGAGCCACTCCTGGACCATCTGTGCGACCAGCAGCGGCGGCCGCGGCAGCTGGCACTGCGTCACCAGGCAGCCGCCGTCCGTGACACACACGTCCAGCCACTGGCGGAGCAGGGCCTCCTCTCGGCCGCGCTCCGAGCGCGTCACAAAGTGTACCGGCAGCAGCGCGCCGTCGTGCGTCATCAGCGGGTAGAACACCACGCCGCCCGTCTCCGGACTGTGCAGGTCGGCGCCTGACGGGGCGAGGTGGGGGTTAGAGCCTACGGTACATCGTACAGGGTTACGGGCAATGCAGGACAGGCAGTCACGGATCACGGTATAATGTACACCCGGAGCGAGTAGGCTACCCACGGACAAACAGCAGCGCCATTTTACGAAGCATGTCGAACACCGTTAATGACTTCATTCTACACATGTTCCAAACAGTCATCGGCATATCCCGTTACCGCAGAACCGTGATTATACGGACTAGCGATACATCACCACTCGATGGGCGCGGCACTGACACACACACACACAGTGTTGGAGTTTTCATTTGGGTATTTTCATGATTTGGTACACCCTCCCCTATCCCACCCACAGACGAGTATCGCGCCGGTTAGTCTGAGCTCACCTGCCCCGGTGAGGTGCGAGGTGGGCGGCATGGCGGGGATCAGCGCCGAAAAGTGACCGCGGGTGTAGCCGAGGCAGACGGGCGACTTGGAGCAAAACGAGGAGTCCCACAGCAGCGGCAGGTACACCCCTGGAATGGAGCGTGATGTGAGATACGAGACACGTCACGCAGACTAAAGCGCATGGGGCTAGAAGTAACAAGCCGGTACTGCGTTTGACAATAACGGTAGTATGTAAATGCACTCGAGCGGAAGCGGGACGGACGGTCTCGGGAGCGGGAGGTTCCGTTCGTACATTCGTGTCAAAATCTGCGAACAGTAGTTTTCAAGCTCTTGCATTTCCTTAATGAAAGTACGAAGCACCGATGTGCAACCATCGAAACCAAGATTATCGAAACAGGCTCTCGCGCCGCCCTGAATCCATTTCTTCCATTCTCTCCAATCAACAAGTGAACGGAGTCGCGCCTCTGGCCCTGATTGCGTATGCGGGTCGGCGCTGCCCAAACCGACAATGTAGCGGTGAGCGCCGCCGCTCCTATCCCACTGAATACAAACGGGGGCCACCTGGGACCCGGCGGTCGGGCCGACCGCCTGAGAGCCGCGGAGGTTCAGTCCCAATCCATCCGCACTGAATACGGCGGCGGGCGGGTCGCAACACACACCGGGACGGCTAGTCCGCCGAGAGAACGGACGGTTTTTCTGCCAGATTTTGAATCACTGACTGAACCTTCTCAACATCGATAGAAGTTATACAATCCCTCAGTGAACACCGAAACAAGACATTGACAGACAAAATAATGGTGCGGGGAAATGTGACTTTATAGATAAATAATTGTTTGTAGGGGATTCAGTGTTAAGTACAGCAACCAAAGCCTTTCATACACCCTGTGACCTGACTCACCTTCGAACCTGGCGTAGCCGAGCGGCTCGCCGCGGAAGCTCTTGACGTATTTCACTCCGTAGACGATGATGGGCCGGCGGACGATGTGCGCCAGCGTCCAAACGTGCAGCTGCTCGAGCGGCGTGCCGGGCTTACCGAGCGCCAGCAGCTGCAGCCAGTCGTGTCGCAGCTGGTCCTCGTCGAGCCGGTACTCGAGCCGCTCCGTCTGCTGCAGCTCGTACTCGTACCAGCGCGGGTAGAAACTAACGGACGGCGGGGGGGGGGGGGGGGGTCAGAGACCGGCGGCTTGTACTCCGTCAGGTAATGGTTTTCGGTATACATTGAGAGAGAACACCCGCAAATACGACTCGCAGCGCATGGCACACTTTGACAGTAGGCTACTGTATCGAATGCCCTGTTTTATTGCAGGTCCTGACCTCTAACGTTCGTTCGGGAAACTCAAGGTACCGACAGTCTCAAAACAAAAAGCTGAACGACTCCGCAATCCAGAAATGCGTCATGGCCACAAAGCAGCCTGATTATGTCCTTAACATACTAAAGAGGCCGTAGACATTTCTCACATACTCTTCTCTTAACCTGTGAGCCAGCAAAACCACCCTTCCCCAGGACACGGACCCCAGCTCCCGCCCCCGGTCGCGCGTTCCACTCACGCGCTGGCCGCCTCGTGCAGGCTGTCGAACAGGGCGCGGCGCAGCGTGTTCTCCCTGTCGAACACGCCCCAGGTAGTCTGGAGGACCGAGTCGAGCAGACAGTCGCCGGCGGTGCGGTTCCACAGCGCGTACAGCCGGCTGCCCAGCCGCTCCGTCACGTCCAGGTTCCAGTTGATGATGGGCGCGTCGGCCTCGAGCTCCTTCTGCGCCTCCTTGTCGAGCAGCTCCTCGAACAGCTGCTGCTGCACCATGTCCGGCAGCTCGTCCAGGTCTGACGGAGGGAGGGGGTAGGTGGGATGGGGGTGCGTGAAAATCGCTCGGCGGATAGGTCTAGAGGAAACTTCCGGGGGGTAAAACGCGGTCGTGGGAGGCAATACAATTACACAGCATAAAAGCACAAACTTTACCCGACGACTTGCTACATGAGAGTCCAAATGTGTTCAAGTAAAAAGAAATGATCTAATATCGTCACGTCAAAAGAGCCGCTAAAATAAAACATATCCCACTAGGACATCGGTCCTGCCTTCTGCACCGCAGTCCCCGCTTCCCCCACCTGCAGGTAGTGAAAACCACGTCATGTCGGTCATGAAGTAGCAGGGGAAGGCGACCTTCTTCTGTCTCAGGGTGGTAGCCACCGAGCGCCGGACGGCCTGCGCCACGTCCGGCGCCACCAGCGAAGGCACCCGCTTCACTCCCGAGCCGGCGCCCTCCATCCGAGAGAGAACCGTAGACAGAATCGTGTCCTGGCAAAACCTGAGGGACGATAGGGGCAGTTAGTCGGGGCTATGTGTCATGGATGAAAGAGTGACGAACTTCATAAGAGAGTAAGGTGGCGACAAAAGCCAGAAGCATCGTATCAGCACAACTGAGAGCCATGAGAAGTTTTAAGAGAAATATCTTGAGATGAAAATCTGATACCGAAATCATTAATATGCTGTACCAGTCTAGTTGATCCGACAATCAATATGGTTTCACTATAACTGATAAATAATAGGACGGAATGAAAAATCTAACCAAAATATATCCACTCCCGTCCCATCGATTGCAGTGAAGCATCCCTGACTGACCTGATGGCCAGGTGGACGAGTGTGAGGCCCACGTCGAACACGGCCGGCCGATTTAGCAGCGCCACCTCGGCCTTACTGAGCTGGCGGGCCGGGTCACCGCCTGCGGAGAAGCAATAAATGGTTATCACACGTGTAAAGGATGACTCGATTGTTCCGAAATACGCACACATAACGCAGTGTCATTGTCACAGCCCCCAATTTACAAGTAAAACGTCACCAGCCGTCCCACCCACTCCCCTGCCAATCCGCTGACCTGAGGACAGGTAGGCGTCGACGGGCTCCGGGTCGCCGTCGACCGTGGCCAGACAGGCGTTCAGCCACACCCAGTCCGCCTCGCGCTGGCGGCGCCGCAGCTGGCGCAGCCGGCGCTCGTACTCGTAGTTGGAGAGAGGCGGCGAGGCGGCCGCCGCGCCGCCGCCGTCCGACGGCTCCTCCTCCGCCGGCCGCCACGTCTGGCACATGGCACAGCGCCGCGTGCGCGGGTAGTTCTCGTACGTACACGTCGAGCACACCCACTTGCGTGTGCCGGGTTCGCGCGGCTCGTGGTGGCGCGGCGAGGGGGTCGAGGGCGAGCCGCGGCGCGCCAGGCTCTCCGAGGACGGGGTGCGGATGTGTAGCGGCGCCAGCGCCTCGTGCAGGTTGGCCGCCGTTAGTGGGGAGGCGCGCCGGCGCGGCGAGCGGCACTGCACGCACTTGGCGGCGCGGGGCCAGTTCAGGTAGGTGCACAGGGAGCAGGCCCACTTGCGCGACGCGTCGTCAGCGGTCGGCGAGGCGGGCGGGCTGCCGCCGCTGCCCCCACCGCCGCCGCCGCCGCCGCCGCCGCAGATGTAGATGTCCTGGTCGGCCTCCTCCGAGATGAGGTACACGGGGCGCGGCGCGTAACACATGGTGCACTTTTTGGACGAGGGAAAGTTCTCGTACGTACAGTACTCGCACGGCCATTTGCGCTCGGCCGAGCTCATGGCTGCGACGGCGGCGGCGGCGGGCCGCCCGGACGGCTGCGGGCAGTGCTCGGAAGCAGGCCGCGAGAACGGCAGAGGAGAGCGCAGAAAGACTAATGCATGACACACATCAGTTGAATTTTATCCCTGAAACAGAAAGGAGGTTTGTCAGTGCTGGTTCAGAACAGATTTTAAAAAAAGGTCACACACCAGCATGCATTAGTTTGCGAATGCAAAGCACATTCACTTGGTAAACTATCTTCAACCAGGCTTATCAGTGAAATGCAGAATGAACAGACCAACAATCCAGGGCCAAATGATGCAGTTACTCACCAGGGCACCAGGTGTCACAAAATTATGGCCAGGTGTACACTTTACACTGTACAGTGTCTGTGGATGGGAATTTAGAAACACTGAACCGTCCAGTTTCATAAAACTGAATAAGCATTTCAAACCTGATTTTTTTTCAGAGCTAATGCACATTAACCCGCGCCCGGCTGGGGGTCCTGGATTTCCACGCCCTGCTGGGGGGGGGGGGGGGGTGTTTGAATACCCCCCCTCTAACTCGGCTCCTTGGCCACGTAGCGATACGCAGAAGGCGGCGTTCGAAAGAGCGCCAAAAATAATGACGAAATCACTTCGGTCACTTTTTTGGTCAGGTCAAAGGTCGGGTCACCAGAGGTCATTGAAGGCAAAATTTCGCCGATTTTCAGGTCGAATGTCGACAATTTCCAGGAAGCCAACGCATAACTCGGGAACCAGTAAAGCTACAGCGCCGCGGAAAAGCGCATTCGATAGCCCTGTTACCGCCCTTTCTGAGTAATTTTCTCAGATTTGACCTAACGTCAACGGTTTTGCCTGCAGGGGGCAAAAACTGCAAAAATAGCCGATTTTTTCGGAAAGTTTTTCTGCAATAACTTTTGACCCAAGCCTTGTACGAGCTTACTTTTACCGGCATCGTGTTCCTCTCGTCAAGACGCATCGAATGAACTATAATTTGACCTTGAAAGGTCAACTTGAAAATTTGACCTCAGGTCAAGGTCATGACCTGACCGGAAAGGGTCATGTTGCATATCGGTCGATCCGTATCGTCGAGCTGAGCACATCTAAGGCGTTTTCACCGCTCTAGCATGCCTCTATCAAAAGTTATTTGCGAAAAACTGTTAGACACCATTTGTGACCTGAGATGACCTCAGGGGCATAAATAGGGGTCACGGACACCATTTTCTTGTTCAGGGTGTCTAAACCACTTGTAATTCAGTGTTTGGGAGTGTTTATAATGTCTTTCGTCCAAAAGAGGCGCATTTCAATTTTCTCCCATTGACTTTTAATGGGGAGGTCGCAAAATTGACCTGACCTTAGGTCACCGATATCAAAATTCCAAGATATACATTCGATAGATACTGTTACCCTTATCAATCGCTGAAAGTTTCAAAGCGATCGGTCACTCGGTGTAGCTATGGCAGACATTGAAACTTTTTATGAGGTGAGGTCACTTCAAGTGACCTGGTGACCTGACCTTGAATGACCTTGGTCTGAAATTTTCACAACATGTGTAGAATTGATGTATGATAAGGTGTACCAAAAACGGCGCCGCCGCCGTTTTTGAGATATTCGCAAAAAACCACAAGGGGGGGGGGGTGTTTAAACACCCCCTTCCAGCAGGGCACGGGTTAACTATTGGGGTATGCTAATCTTTGACCTTTCTGAAATTTTGATAACAGGCACTAGAAGGCCTGTCTGATGTTTCAATGCCTTGCTTAACCTCTTCTGCTGTTGTTAAACAGAAAATAATACAAATGTCTGCTAAACAGAAGATAAATTATTATATCAACTTGATCATTTTATATAAGATTATGGTCTACATATCTAGAGGTTATCAAATCTCAAGCTTTACATTTTTGTGGATGGCCATGGTCTAATATTTACAAATGATCACATCCAATATAAACTAGGTAAGCATGTACCCAAAATTTACTATATAAGAACTATTCCACTCTAAAAGATCACAACCTGCAATCACAGATCTGAGGCCATACCAAGACACCTCATCAATTTGTGACCTAATTTTAAATTGCTGATCTCAAGCAGCAGCTGGAAAGAAACAGGCAAAATTGTATCATATGATTGATAGAGGAAAGGGTCAAGAGGAGAAAACAGTGATGAATGGAGCTCAGTTACTGATGAAAATGACCTCTAACACATCTGCTCATTTTAAGCTTATATCAGCATTCTGCTCATTTTCCCATATGTGGACTTTGAAGATTACTCTCAGCCATTCCATTGCCAATCATGGGTGAGGCACATACGCTACACAAGTTTTATCAATGAGAAGACCAGAAATGCCAGCAAGCTGGTGGGTGCTGGTAAAAACGGATGCCAGTGAAAACAGGGCACCGGAGGACATATTATTCACGTGACATTTGGAGCTTCTCCCCCTCTGTGGGCCTTCTAGATGCTAAACGTCACATGTAAATTTCACGAAACTTGATCAAATCGCCCCAGGCGCCCTGTTTTCACCGTCGTCCATAAAAACAGTGGCCGAACTGCACCAATAACAGCAACAAAATCATCATGCAAAACAACAAAGAAAACTGCATCTCCAAGTGAAAAAAATTGATCTCTTGAAAACCTGCATGCATGCGCAAAGCACATGTACTGGAAGGAAAACCCAAATTCACCCATAAATGACAAATATAATAGGGAAATGGAGCAAACATCAGTAACTTTGTAGTCCTAGTGGGAACAACTCAGCAGTGTATATTGATATTAGGGCGACAAATATGACGCTATCATTACTTAAATGACATATCTAATGAGCAGCAAAGAATTAATATTGAAAAGAGTTTCTGGATAATTGACATATTTTTCAACTCACCCCATCGAGAATCACCATCCCTCGCAAACAGAAAACAAAAATAAAGGAGTTTTTCACGCATGCGCAGATTTCTATTTGCATGCTTTCCATGAAGCCAACCTAAAATACTGCAAAAGTTTATCGACAAGAAATTTCTTAGGAATGATGAGCAAAGTTAGCAAATGAAAATGTAGGATTAACGAAAACAAAGCTGAATACCAAAAAATAATTTCATATGCATTTTTCTACTTCATCGATGAACTAATGTAGAAAAAATATGCGCCTGCATATTGTTTTGCTGACGATACTAAACTGATGCATTATTTTCTCCTACAAATGACGTTTAAACTTTATTAGTTCCTTCATTTGTTTGAAATTGTTATCAATCATTTTATGAAATATTCACAAATATTGAAAAAAAATTAATATTAATAGTAAACTCAATGATAAAGGCAAAAAAGACTAATTCAATATCTTAGTATGCAATTTATATCCAATGTGTTACATTGGGTATTACTTGACCTTGCCATTTCCGTGAAAGTCACCCAAACTCGTGCGGGAGGCGGGGCAATCGGGGGCGTTTGGAAAACAAATATTTCGGTTGTGTATTTGCAACCTTTTCATAAGTAAATCTCAAGATGAGCATCTTTTCAAACGTCCAAACTGCTCCGCCTATTGAGGTTTTTGCACTAACCAGAGCATACAATGCGGATCATAATCCCAAAAAGGTCAATCTTGGAGTTGGTGGTAAGTTAAAATAGTCGCCTAAATTGAGATAAGCATCCTAGGCCCTGTTTTAAGGCACTGCACTGCAGTGCTCTGCATATAAAGGTGTATTGGGTTTCCCTGAAAACATCAACTCGGATGCTCGCAATGCTAGAGCTTCGACCGAGCCAAGTTTGTCTCAAATGCCGCACCAATACGGCTACAGTGCGCTGCAGCGCTCTGCCGTGAAACAGTACCCCGTAAGATTGGTGCAAAGGCGCCCTACCCTAATTTATTTTCAGTGCATTTTATAAAACATAGAATCAAAGCCTCAATAATGCATTGCGACTGCTAAACCAGTGATTTGGATTGGGAATGCTTAGAAGTTTAATTTCTAGTATTTCACTAACATTTTTTTTCAAAACATGTTGATGAAAATGAGCAGTATTACTAACTATTTATTTCAGATACAAGAATATGAGCTAGAAGTGTGAACCATAGTATAATGGCCCTTTGACTGCTTAGGTATTTCTTTCATGCCCTCTGTTGCCTGTTGGTCATGCTTGCTGATTCACTCATCTGATCTTTTCTCCTAACGATTTTGGTCCTCCTGCCCTCTCTCTCTAATATTCTCCTTTAATCTCTATCTTCTCTTTCTCTCCTCCAATTTCCCTATCCTCTCTCTCTCTCTCTCTCTCTCTCTCTCTCTCTCTCTCTCTCTCTCTCTCTCTCTCTCTCTCTCTCTCTCTCTCTCTCTCTCTCTCTTTCTCTCTTTCTCTCTTTCTCTCTCTCTCACCCTCTCTCTCTCTCTCTTGCCCTCTCTCTCTCTCTCTCTTGCCCTCTCTCTCTCTCTTGCCCTCTCTCTCTCTCTCTTGCCCTCTCTCTCTCACCCTCACCCCCTCTCTCTCTCTCACCCTCTCTCTCTCACCCTCTCCCTTTCCTCTCTTTCTCTCACTCCCATCACAGTTAGCTTGTCCCTTGTGGCTCCTTTTCCATTCCCAATAGCCACCATCACTGACCTGGATACTTTATACTCTGGTAACTTGCCTGGCAGAGTTCCCTTATCTGCCCCTGCCCTACAAAGTTTCCCTAATCTGCTCCCCTCACCCCTGGCCCTAATCCCCCCTGTCTGCGTGCAGCGTACCGGACCGACGAGGGCAAGCCGTGGGTGCTGCCGGTGGTGCGCAAACTGGAGGCGCAGCTGGCCGCTGACGAGACGCTCAACCACGAGTACCTGCCCGTGCTGGGTCTGGACGCGTTCAGCAAGGCGGCCGTACACATGCTGCTGGGCACCGACTGTCCGGCCGTCATCGACAATCGGGTACGGAGTCAACGGGGAGAGGGAAGAGGGGGCGGGAGAGCGTACGAGAGTGAGAGGGTGGGAGACAGATGGTATGGTTGAGATTGTTGTGGCAAGGATTAAGCGGGATGAATATCATAAATGGGGTAATGGCAGTCCTGCACCAATCCCCCGACGGCCGGTCGCTCGGGGTTTTACGGTAAAGGCTAAATGACAATATCCAGCTGACCGTAGCTGGTAGGAAGTAAAAAGCTGGATGATGCACCCATACTGGTACAAACTAGAGCGCGATGATACGCTCCATATCAACCAGTTGTGTACTGTTGCCGGGTTACGATACGGAGCCCGGCGGTGTATCACACCCGTAATTTCCGTATACCTTCGCCGGTGTTCATGCTTCAATGCTTAGGTACTTAGTAACGGCTTGTTCGGTCTCTTAGTAACTATGACCTTTCCTCGCTTTGGCAGCGATAACGCCGCCCCAATCCAATGTACTGCCGGTGAGCTGCAGGCAAAATTATTATTTATTCAGAGGTTCTGCCATTGAGTGGACGGATATTCGATCCCATATTGTGCGTGCTCTTGTACGCAATCCCCATGGACGACATCGCACAAGCAGTTAGTGGGTCACGTCTCACCAGCAGTGGGTGTGTCCGTTAGGCCTCGCTGAGCGGGGGCTCGGCTGATAGGCAGCATCTGGCCCTTGACATGACGTTAGGATTAAAATAATATTTGCGCTCCCTTCGTCCTCGCCGGCGTCTACAGATCGCTGTTACGTCGGATGCCCGGGGCAACTGTGGGACCGGTCTTGGGTTATTTATTTGCCTCATTCTCACCCCTCCCCATTCCACCCCGGCTTCCGAGGCAGACACATTGGTCGTTACCTTGGTGATAACTACTAAAATAAACCGTCATCACATGCCGAATAATCACCCGTGTCGCTTTATCGTTTTATTGCGAATCCCGGTTGTGCTTCGGTCTTATTGTCTTTACAGGTATTGGTTAACCCTCGCACGACCAGGCCATTTCTCATAACACGAACGACCAGGGGGGGGGGGGTTACGACCCCCCCCTGGCGTTTCGAAACGGAAGGTCGTAGAGCTTAGCGGAAAAAACCAACGGATTGCTCTCAACGAGATCTCGCGATTGGTGGTATATTTTTTGGTCCTAGGTCAACATTTGACCTACTTTTGACCGGTCAAAGGTCACATTTTCGGAAAAATAGACTTTTTTCAACTTTCGGCGGCGATTGCGGCAAAACGGTGGGAGATATCGACTTGAAACCTTCACTATCGTGTTCCTTGATCAATTCTCTATCGTTTGGTATGTATTTCGTTTCCCTAGCTCTAAAAATGGCGCGTTGGGAGCGCCGGAAGTCGGCAAGGTCGCAGTCGGCGGCAGAAATTCGAAAAATCAAAATTTAAATTTTTGAAATCTGATTGTATTTTTGGATTTGGGAGGTCCATTTGCTCCCTATAGAAGCTAATATTGCTGCATATTCCCATTGAGGTGACAAGAATTAGCAAAATAGTGGTTCGGGCGATTTTCAAAAATAGTACCGGACGCTGTTCCTCTTGTGACGTCATAGCTCCGTGACCTGACCTGACCCGGTCAAATTTCTTATACCATATGATAGCCAATACTTGCCCCAACATGCATGGGAAGTTTCATCACGATCCATCAACCGATGTCCGTACCACCGGCAGGAAACCTCGGGCGTTGGCACTCAGTTTGTGAAAATCCGGCCGGAGGCTGTACCTCTTATGACGTCATAACTCCGTGACCTGACATGACCCGATCATTTTTTTTTCGGCAAAAGATGCGCAAAGGTTGCCCCAGAGGGTATTGAAAATTTCAGCCCGCTACGACAAGCCGTTTAGCGTGCACTTCGAAAAAACCTCAGGGGGGGGGGGTTGATACAACCCCCCCCCCCCTAGGCGTTCTAGGGTTAAAATGACTGATTGTTTCTGCACACCTGTGACAGCTTTGACACCCTCGACCTGTTGTTACATTGAGAATATGTTTTACATAGTCTGACGTCAGCACGTGTTGTGTGTGTTCTCGATCGTGTACAGGCGCTAGGAGTGCAGTCCCTCTCAGGAACGGGCGCCCTGTTTGTTGGCGCCAAGTTCCTACAGAAGATCCTCGGCTATGACACCTACTACTACTCGGCGCCCACATGGGGTGAGTGGCGGGAAACTTTACATCGGGTCAGCGCTGCTTGGCTATGACACCTAGTAACTTTCTTCGTAGCTCGTACGCTAAGAGTCTTCGTGGTGCAGTGTTTATGCGTGTTTTGCGTGTTAACTACTAGGCACTGTCCTGTATTACCTGCTTGTTACACTGGATGTTCGTTTTTGGTTTCAGTTTCGACCCACCTGAAACGCATGCCGTGCTTAAGGGGCGATTTTTCTGTCATTCACACACATCACAGGACTGTCATGAGTCATCCCGAGAGTCAATTCCTCTGTAATACCACTGCACCGCCTGTGCGCCGGCCACTGAAGGCTCATCAGCCGCCGACGGCCCGGTTTGGTGCGGTGTTTGCGCCAGTCTCACCTCTGCCAGCTTGGGCAGTGTGTAAATGCTCTCCGTGTGCCAGTTAGGGGTGTAAAGTCGCCGGCTCTGCCAGTTTGGGCAGCGTGGGAATGCTCTCCGTGTGCCAGTTAGGGGTGTAAAGTCGCCGCCTCTGCCAGTTTGGGCAGCGTGTGAATGTTCGCCGGCTGCCAGCACCGGTTGGCGACCGGCTGACATTGACCTGCTGGGTAGCAGGGGACGGGTGTCACGTGCCGGGTGTATATCGGGCCGCGCGCTCCGCGACAGTCTCTGGCCGAGAGCCAGAGAGAGTCAGTTCAGGAGAGGGGGAGGGGGCGTACAGTGCATGGTGTGTACGCTGAGAAGCGACAGATGATAGTCATTTCACAGCGTAAGCGACAGCTGGCCAGCATAATCATGAGGTAGAGAACGAACAGGTGGTCAGGCCATTGGGACTCGCGATGCACTAACAGACATCTGGGAGCATTGCCAACGGATAAATAGGAGGGATATACCGCTTGCCTATTTCACGTCAGTCTAAACCCATTTCGGCTTCAAAAACTAACCGATCTCCACTGCCTGCCCTCAGGCAACCACAAGCTCATCTTCGACACGGCAGGCTTCAAGCAGGGTCGCGCCTACCGCTACTGGGACCCGGCCACCAAGAACATCGACTTTGACGGCATGTGCGAGGACCTGAGGAACGCGCCGGAGAACTCTGTGATCATCCTGCACGCGTGCGCGCACAACCCGACCGGCTGCGACCCCACCGACGCACAGTGGAAACAGATTGCCGAGATCATGCGCGAGCGGAAACTGTTCCCCTTCTTCGACTCGGCCTACCAGGGCTTCGCGTCGGGCGACCTGGACAAGGACGCGCGCACGGTGCGCTACTTCGCCAAGGAGGGCTTCGAGTTGTTCTGCTCGCAGTCCTTCTCCAAAAACTTCGGACTCTACAGTGAGTTGTAACTGGGGCGGGTGGGTGCGGTGAAGCGGATGTTTCGGAAATCAGCCGGGCACAAATGATTCTTGTTATGTTAATCACCGGAATGTTTACGAAACCGACACTGCTATAAGTTGAAATGAAACTGAACACTGGGTACTGGCTGATGATGGGTTGATTGCTGCCACACTGTGATGTTGCTGATCGTTCGTCGTGCTGCTAGTTCTGTGTGCTGCGCTCTGACTCGCTGCCTCTCCCCCCAGATGAGCGGACCGGTAACCTGACCGTGGTGATGAAGGACGCCGAGCTGGCGGCAGCCGTGCTCAGTCAGCTGACACTGGTCGTTCGCGCCACCTACAGCAACCCGCCGGCGCACGGCGCGCGCGTGGTGGCCGCCACGCTCACCAACAAGGACCTCTTCGCCGAGTGGTCAGTGGAGGGGAGGGGATGTGGCCCGTAAATTCACACAGGGGTTTATATGGGAAGATAAAGAAGGTCGGATATATTGCTGAGGTGCAGACTGAAGAGAGCAAAAGTGGCCAGGCAGTAAAATGTTGATCGTTGTGCGGTTGGAAATATGAGCGCAGCGAGTTGCAGTGGCCAAGTTTTGGAATGTGTTGTGCCTGGTAAAGTCGACCCAGCGTGATGATTCTCGTCATCTGTCGCAGCTAGGGATTTACGATTTCTGACCCAGGGGACTAAAGCCATCCTCCGACCCTTTCCCGTGCACAGGCAGGACCACATTCGCGTCATGTCTAGCCGGATCATCCAGATGCGCGAGGCGCTGCGCGACCGTCTGGTGAAGCTGGGCACGCCCGGCACCTGGGACCACATCACCAGGCAGATCGGCATGTTCTCCTTCACCGGCCTGACGCGTGAGTCTTAATAGCTGGGTGGGGGACAGCCAGCGAGGGGCCGTGGAAGGGTGTAGCGGGACGCGAGATGATTTAAACGTGGGTAGCGGTACCCCGTGGCTCGATTCTGTTTCACAGCTGATTGCTGCTTGTGTCACGACTAACAACTGTTAGTCGATCTACTTTGGGCCACACCAAGCCACGTTCGTCTTTCCACATTCCTCCAGCCGTCTATACTGTCCACACCCGTCTGACGCCAGTCTCTCCGCCGTACAGCCCAGCAGTGCGAGTATCTCGGTAACGAGCACCACATCTACCTGCTGCGCTCGGGACGGGCCAACATGGCCGGCCTCAACACCAACAACATCGACTACGTGGCCTCGGCCATCCACGACGCCGTCACCAAGTTCCCGGCCGCCTAAAGCGCCGACCGCGCCGAGATTCGAACCCGCGACACGCGGAACACGAGGCGTGAGTGAAGTTTTAGCGCTAGGTTAGAGACAATCGACGCTGAGCGTCTTGTGATTTTGCGTTGTTAGGGCTGATTTGTAGTCCATAGCCGTCTGGGGCGACTTCTGGAACAACTGCCGGTGTAATTGTCTATGCATTGGAGCGAATTTATCGGCGTTATCGGCTAAACTGCCAGTGTTGGGTGAGGTGGGGTATCGATGCACCTTTTATCGACTGGCTGCTGAAAGCACGCACGGTGAACACGGTGAACGGTGAATATAACCTAGTCGGAACTGGAGTATTTTTACCGCAAATCAAGTAAACAATTTCCCAGCTTTGTTACCACTTAAGTGGCGTGACGGATGATAGGAAGCATGGGAATTCAAGCTCGGTAAATCTGCTTGTGAAAATAACACTCTGCTAAGACGTAAAGCTATCATGGAATCTGAGTCCCATCAAGGCCACGGGCGAATCGACATAGGTACCAAATTGAATTTATGCAAGGTTTCGTGTGAAATTTACAATGTGCATTGTGCATGACGACTAGTTTACGAAACGTACAAAGCTGACGCATTTCACTCAACCAATGGGACGGTATCGAAGCACAGAACATTCACTAGACGGCCCAGATACCAGGTACGTACGCACACCATTCGCGCACACCTCTGAATCTTCACGGCAAAACCAGATATCACTGGTGTCAGTCCAAGGGGAATCAGATCAGAGTGCTGCTGTAGCAAGTCGATTCGGATTGAGGTCCTGTGTAGGCTATCCAATGGCCACACACGAGGCTTGGATCCCACCAGGCCACAATCGAATTGATTGCGAGCACTACCAGTCATGGCTGATGACCGCTTCGTTCATCGCTCTCCTCCACTCTCGAGCCACACGAGTCTTTCTCTATTACCTCAGGTAGCCATCACTGACACCACACACACTGTCGGTCTACTCGTCCGTCCCGTCCCGGCCCGCTGTGGTGTGGTGACGCCGTTCACTATTCCCGTGAGAAGGCCACCATACATCCCGCGGCCAGCAGTGTCTCCACCCCGATAAACACCAGCTGGGTGGCGCACAGCACCAGCTCCAGCCGCAGCACGTACGTCTGCCACAGCAGGAAGTAGCAGACGGCCAGCGCGCTGGGTGCCGCCAGCAGCGCGCCCACCAGCAGCGGCAGCACGCGCAGCGTCAGGTTGCCGCGGCGGGAGAGGAGCAGCCGGGCGGCCTCGGCGGCGGCCAGCAGCAGCAGCAGCGCCAGCTCCGAGACCAGGTTCACCGGCGGGTAGGGCAGCACCGAGCGCTTCCACAGCAGCAGCAGCAGCGTCAGGCACACGTAGGCAGCCGTGTACCATCCGTGCAGGTAGGCCAGGACCTCGTAGGCCAGCGACGAGCCCATGGCGGCGACAGAGTGACACTGGCAGCGAGCAACTGGAAAACGGGGAATACAAATGACAACGCCCGTCTCTCCTTACGCTTACACTGTTCAATAAGCATTTACAACCAGCATGAAATGGATTGCTCATCTACAGAAATACGCCAAAATCGATGGCCAGTGTCAATTGTAACGTGGCCTGACAACTGGTGGACGGCAAAGGAAATGTCTAGCAGTAATGTCATTAGCTAGGACTCTGTAACAGTGGTGCAATCCCATGAGCAGACAGCAATGTCTGCTAAACTTTTGCAGTGCACATGTTATCGATGCCATCTCAGGGACCCAGTTATCAAACGCTGTTGTCAAATTGATTGAATAGCCAATTAGTGTAGGTGACATACAAATGCATTGGTCACGACATTATATCAGAAAAAAAGGTTCCTGATTCCTGTTACTGAAAATAAAGCAGCATATGTTGCAAATGAACAGATGTGAGCAGACAACCTACCTTCTTCACATCAAACTACTTGGCAGCTCCTTTCGGCACGACCAGTCCAAGCCTCTCCTCTGCCAGCTGCTGTTTGCTCTTTGCAACAGGTGTCTCCTGCATGGCATCAGCAGTGTGGCCGCCAGCAGCCGCATTCCGGGCAGACCCCATCTCACGCTTCATGTTCTCGTACTCTTGCAGATCCTCCAAGCGTAGCTCTATGCGTGTCGGTGGACGGCGAATCATGGCTGAAGCTGGGGAACCAACAGAGTTAACAAAAACATAGAGCAGTACAGGCTCCAATTGATATATAAAAATGGTTTCACCTACAGTCACGGATTTCTGGAATCAGAAACATATTGGCCCGATTGGGTGAAGACTTCCATTTTGCGTCTAGCTACATGCATCTGTCTTAAATGCGTCTAGCTGGATGGCTGCTACGTCTATCTGGCGACAGCTAAATTAAGACGCGTCTAGCTTGTAAGTCTCCGTCCAACAGTTAGACGCCAAGTTAGATGCCAGACGCCAGCTTGGACGTCTGCTCAGTTTGAGTTTTTGAGTTAGGCCACTATGCCTAGCTACCCAACCCCACCATTTCGACCCTACTGCTATTACCATACTCAACTTACCTTGCTAAAGAACAGATAAGAACTTAGACAGTTCAATTAAAAGTCAACATATTGGAAAAATGATACCCTTGGTTTGCACTTACAAATTGATATGCAAAAAAATTGATATTGTCAACATTTGTTTGGGTTTTGGAATGCGCTGCCAGATCTAGATGAGGAGGGAAATGTCCGTTTCACTTCAATCAGCATATTAGGAAGTTTAATATTTTGAATAAAAAACACAACTTCTGAATACTGAAATTGATATAAATGCATTTTTGTAGAAAAGCTTAAGGCTATAAGATTTTTATTCACAGCAATCAACTGAAAATCCCATCAATGATAATATTCATTGTGAAGGCTTTTTAGCAAGGATCCGAATATACTTTAATTGGAAGCGAGCTTCTCGCGATGCATATCTGAGGCACCAAAGACATGTTTTAGCGCAGGTAATTTGCGGGGCGAAGACAAGGAAAGGAGAGGTAGGTGGGTACTTCTCCGGTAAATATAAATAAAGACAGACAATTTTCGGTTTATCATATGCTTAGCAACGAAGTTCAAGAAGTAAAAACCTTCTGTATTTCGCAACTTGCATGCATGCTGTATTCAGTCTGCCAACGACGCTTTTGGCATGCTTGCATTTTTAGGTGTAGTTACTCCACGTCCTGTCCTGGTATGTTTAATGTTATGCCAAAAATGGGTTAGGGCATATCAGATTTGATAACCTTTTCACCTGCTGTGTAGATTTGTTTGTGGATTCTCTAACTTCATGAATTCTTGCCCTTCATTGCAGTGATAAAATGTCACAAGAGCTTCTGGACTTCTGCTCTGGTGGCCTCTGCCAGTCCATTTCAGCCAGTTCTGCCACCAGTGATGGGTTTGAAGCAGAGAACCTCCTGTCTCCTGCTAGCAGAGGATTTCTGGCTGCGGGCTTTGTGCGGCCGCCCGTGACACTCACGCTCGAGTTCTGCTGCCCCGTAGAACTGCGCCAGGTGCGGATATGTCTGAGGCTGAGTCAGCAGCACACTACCAGTGTCCAGCTGCTGGTGGCCGGCCCGGGCAGTGACGACTGGCAGCCAGCCGGCTCTCTCTGGGAGCAGCATGGCCAGCCGCCACCCGACGAGGTGTCGTTTGTGAACGGCGCGGCGTGCGGCGGCCGCGGCGGCTCCGGGCCGCCCCCTGCCGCGCTGCGCCTGCCGCTCAGATGTCGGGACCGCGCAGCGCTCAGGCGCGTGGCGCGCCTCAGGGTGAGGCTGACCCGCGCGCGCGGCCCCAGCGCGCTCTGTCTGAGCAGTCTGCGCGTGTGGGCGGTGGCCGCGGAGCCGAGCCACCCGGCGCTGAGAGCCGCGCTAAGCCAGCGGGCGGCCGCGGCGGCAGCCAGCACTCCCAGTCAGCCGGCACCGGCGGCCTCACCACAGTCTGGCGAGCAGCGACTGGCGCGGGAGCGGGAGAGCCGCGCGGCGGCGGCCCGCGCGGCCGTGGAGCGCACCGGCCCGACTCCGCCGGAGGAGTTCGTCGACCCCATCACGTGCGAGGTGATGGTGCTGCCGATGGTGCTTCCCTCTGGTCAGACGGTGGACCGCAGCACGCTGGAGCGCCACGAGCGCGCCGAGGCCGGCTGGGGCCGCCCGCCCAGCGACCCGTTCTCTGGCGTGCCGTTCGGCGGCGGCGCGCGGCCCGTGCCGGACGCCGCGCTCAAGGCGCGCATCGACCACTTTCTGTTCGAGCACGCCGGCGCGGCACCGGAGCTGGCCGCAGTCGGCCGCACCGTGGGCCGCGCCAAACGGCCGGCGTCCCCGACACCACCAACTGCGCCGCCGGCGCAGCGGGCCGCCTACGACCCGCGGGCGGCGCACCCCGGCCCCGGCAGTGACAGAGCGGCTGGCGGGACCTCGGCCGGGGACCTGGACACTGCCCTGCGGTCGGCCCTCAGTGGACTCAAGTCGTTCCAGCCGCGGCCGGCGGCTCCGACGGCGCCCGTGTGCGGCTGCGGCGCCGAGCGCAACCTGTACTCTCTTCCCTGTACGCACGCCGCCTGTCGCGCCTGCCTGCTCCGCCTGCCCAAGGCGGCAGAGTGCGGCACCTGCCGCAAAACGTTCCAGAAGGCAGACGCCGTCAGGTTACACACCTAGAAGGTAATAGGGGGATTCATATTCAATGGTTGTGATCTATTGCTTCCACTCATCAAATCTTGCTTGTTTTGTATAATTGTACGTGGCCGGCAGTATCACTGACACTCAGTCAGTTGACCAATAAATATTGATGAAGTTGAGTATCATGGTTAACCCTCGCACGACCAGGCCATTTCTCATAACACGAACGACCAGGGGGGGGGGGGGGGTTGTTACGACCCCCCCCCCTGGCGTTTCGAAACGGAAGGTCGTAGAGCTTAGCGGAAAAACCAACGGATTGCTCTCAACGAGATCTCGCGATTGGTTGTATATTTTTTGGTCCTAGGTCAACATTTGACCTACTTTTGACCGGTCAAAGGTCAAATTTTCGGAAAAATAGACTTTTTTCAACTTTCGGCGGCGATTGCGGCAAAACGGTGGGAGATATCGACTTGAAATCTTCACTATCGTGTTCCTTGATCAATTCTCTATCGTTTGGTATGTATTTCGTTTCCCTAGCTCTAAAAATGGCGCGTTGGGAGCGCCGGAAGTCGGCAAGGTCACAGTCGGCGGCAGAAATTCGAAAAATCAAAATTTAAATTTTTGAAATCTGATTGTATTTTTGGATTTGGGAGGTCCATTTGCTCCCTATAGAAGCTAATATTGCTGCATATTCCCATTGAGGTGACAAGAGTTAGCAAAATAGTGGTTCGGGCGCTTTTCAAAAATAGTACCGGACGCTGTTCCTCTTGTGACGTCATAGCTCCGTGACCTGACCTGACCCGGTCAAATTTCTTATACCATATGATAGCCAATACTTGCCCCAACATGCATGGGAAGTTTCATCACGATCCATCAACCGATCTCCGTACCACCGGCAGGAAACCTCGGGCGTTGGCACTCAGTTTGTGAAAATCCGGCCGGAGGCTGTACCTCTTATGACGTCATAACTCCGTGACCTGACATGACCCGATCAATTTTTTTCGGCAAAAGATGCGCAAAGGTTGCCCCAGAGGGTATTGAAAATTTCAGCCCGCTACGACAAGCCGTTTAGCGTGCACTTCGAAAAAACCTCAGGGGGGGGGGGGGTTGATACAACCCCCCCCCCCCCCCCTAGGCGTTCTAGGGTTAAAACTATGATAATTCGCCGACGTGCCGGTGGCAATACCAGCTCATGTCCGTCTCTTATCTCAAATAAACGGAATGCTCCCGTGACTGGCAATAAAGATGTCGTAACTGTATAGTTTAAAAAACATTTAAAACTAATATTTCAACATGTATATTATAAAGTGACAGAAAATACACGATATACGTCACCGTCCGATCACGATCGTCATCTACACACGACCGTCACATAAGCCAAGCGAATCGATGAAAGCGAGCGAACGGGCTAAACGGAAAGCGAGCAACTGTCGTGGCGGCACTACCGGCAAGCATGAGCCACCCACTACGGGCGATTCGGATTAAAGGGACTATCCCACCTTTAACATGGGGTTTGAGTTGAGATAGCCAAGTTTGCGGCGAGGTTCAGAAACCACTATCTATCTAGGTTGCAACCCCCGCGGCCTCTTGGTGTTGAAGAAATTCGTTCCCTTCATTTGAAAATGGGCCTTGTACAAGGCCCTATCTTCAACATGGAGCGACCGTTAGTGTGACGTCACCTCGTTTAGTCATTCTGATTTAAATGAGTTTGTTCGTTGAAAAATCGCTTAAAACTTGGTCTGAACTTTGTTGTGGTGCCTACAGAGTAAAAAGAATCAGCTTTATGACAGTAATGTGGCCTGGGGAAGGAGGTAATTTTGGGCTGTGACGTCACATATTTGAAAGTTTGTGTTTGGAATATGGGAAGCCTAAGATGTTTAATGAAAAATAAATGCCAGAACCGTGTTCCTGGTCATCCAATCTATAAAGTCTGGCACAATTTAACCGGTTTTAACAACATTTTAGAAGGTGGGATAGTCCCTTTAACGGTATGGTTTGATCGGTACTTGCGTGGTAGTAAGCACGGTATAAAATAATTCCTGGAATCACGTATCATCTCCCTTTGGATCATGGCCACTCACACCCTAGGCGCCGACCGGTGGTTCTGCAGGACCGCCGATCGCCCGGCGTAGTCCGGCATCTCTCCAGTAATCACACTGCCCGGCACCGGGTCGAGCCGCTTCCTTCTCTCTCCCGCTGCGTTGTAGCGGAGGGGTTCTCCCTTATTGTACGGCGGGGTGGGTGTCGGAAGAGACGCCCGCCACGCCAGCGCATACGCGGTACCGAGCTCGGCACGGCAGCTCTCAGAAACTCCACAGAACGGGGCCGTCCGCAGCGCCGCTAAAACTGAAACGACAAAACGGTACACGAAGTATGTCAGGCAAGTGGCAGCCAGTGATTAAAAGCAATCATGGGCCATGACATCAACGGCGTTCTGTAGCATACCATTAGCGCAGCACCTTGCTATCCCTTAGTACGTGGATCTGGTTCACCGAGGAACGAGGTATTGAAGAAGGCAATCATTTAACAAGCTGCTAAGATTACGTGAACTCGGTGAATTTCCCGCAGTACATTGACAGCATCTAGCATCGAGTTGAAATTCATGTTATCAGTTATTCGTGCTACCATCTAACTGAGTCGTAAATCGCAACAGACGAGAAAATTAACGATATTGTTATGTTACGTCACCCCATTCCACAGACGATAGCTTCGTAATATATCCACAACACATAACAAGCGCTGGGAGAGTAAAACTGCAAACTGACCGCCTGCGTTAACCGATACGTTTTTGTGATTCTGCAATTCTCACCCTCTTGAGGAACTCCTCGGCGCATATTCTGGCGCGCGCGTTGACGGCCAGCTTCATCTCGCTGATCTCGCGGTCAATCTCCTCCATGAAGGTGATTAGGAAGTCGACCAGCTTGTGCTTGTACATGGCCTCCGTGTGGTGGTTGGTGATGAGGAAGCTGATGTCGTAGCCCTGCGGACGGGTCAACGGTGAGAGGCATCGCTGCACAGTCGGTCTAACATAGGATGTGCAGCGGACGATGCTAGAGTTTCGCAGGGACGCTCATACATGACTCGGTGAAATATTATGTACAACATTACGAAGAAGCAGCTTACAAACATACTACACTCTTATCAAGAGAAAAAGCTGCCGTCGCCGGTGCCTTTCACTCAGCCCAGGCCCCGCCTACCTGCACCGGCTTGCGCCGCAGGATGACAAAGTTTTCGGCGCGCATCATCATGAAGCGCATGAACTTGTGGCTGAGGATCTTCTCGATCTCGTCCGCCTGCTTGATGGCGATGCTGACGCGGATCGAGTTGATGGATGACTCGATGAGGACGCGCTCCTTTTCGTTCCGGGAGATGGTAACGGGCGTGAGCAGCAGCTCCTTGCTCGTCCTGACGAGATGAAAACAAGTCCAGCCGGAGGGAGGTCAGAATCCAGAACAAAATCAGAACACTTGAGCCTAGAGGACACACTGGTCAACATGAGCCAGAACGACAGGGCCGATGAAAAAAACATGAATACCTACTTTTGCTCACCGCGGTCATGCTAACAGATGCAAGCTATCAAGCTAACACTGAAAGAAGCTGGAAATTTCATCCATGAAAGTGTACAATCTTCATTCTAATTAAAGCAGCACCTACAGATTGATGAGTTGGGTGGTGAGTGATGTGATGACTCACCTGACCTCGACCTCTGGCTTGTTGTGCCTCTCCACGACCTGTGAGGAGAAATCCTCTAGGCACATTGCGGCAGTCAGAGTGTGCCTCACTGCAGTCAGATAGGGCTTCAGAGTGGCCGCCTGGTGACAACACACACATTGTTGTTACTTGTTAATAATGTAGGCATCAGGTATCAGCCATGGAACACTAAAAAAAATGCTGAGAACTACTTTGACACATTCCTGACCATGCATATGACACTGCCAGCATGTCAATAAACTGCTGGGTGCTGATTCACCAAGCACATTGGCCAACAATAAGAAAAAGGTAGCTGAGGTAGGCCATTTTTTAGAGAGAAGACATTCACACTTTGATCTAAAAGCTAAACTAGTCAGGGTTTTCACTTGCACTGCTTGACTAAAAGTAACCAAAGTAGAGCCATTAACAAGGCACCTGACAGTTCAGCTGTGCCCCCAACCAAGCAGCTTACCATATTTAGGAGGGTGTGCTTGATTGAGTAAGATAATACTGGACAGGTTTGATAACTTATATGTTCTTCTCAGCCTCTACTGCCAGTACCAATCCCTCTGAAAATAAAATGTCAGTAGTAAAAGTGAGTTTTGATATGACACAGAATCAGTACCCACATCACCTAGCTAGACACACCAGCAATCCTTCTATAACTAATAACTAAGCCCACACCAACTGTTTCCTTAAAGCCTTGAGAACAGCCTGTCTAAATAAAAGGCCTAAACCAGGCATTAGAAGCACTCCTCAGTCCTCAGTCCTCAAGGACAAAAAGTCTAACATAGCGAAGACAGACTAGCCTCTCTGCAGGTTGAGAAAAACCAAAACTAGTTATAGATGGGGAAAGAGGACTGTGTCATGGATGAAGTATTCCACGGATAGAAGTATTCCTAATCATGGATGGAATACCTAATCAATGACTGTGTTCTAAGGGTCTTTGAGGGCTAAGCTTACTTCTTTGGCCATTAACTGCCCAAGCCAATTGGACAGTCCACCACTTTATCTAATTCTCTTAAAATCTGAGTATAATTGATTTCCACAAAAATCTTTGGTTTGGCAAAAATAAAAAAGATCAAGACTTTTCATGACTTTGATGAAAGGTAGAAAAACTTAACAATTCACATCTAAAAGATGCTGCACAGCCATGTTGCCACCAATCTTTCAGAGCTTCTGGCAGTGAACTATGAAAGTCAAACTAGGGGTCGCACACTGAAACTTTGCAAGCCCAATGGGCCATGGGCCATGCAACTTGCAGTGCTAGAATAAATTCATTTTCTGTATGGTGTATTAATGACAGGAAAGGACTTCAAGCAGCTATTATACATTCACCTTCAGTCAACACCTTAGAGTACAGTCTGGATGCAGGATGCATACTGAGAGTGGATCTGGCACTCAACTCCAGCTACCAAGTAAGTACAGATTTAACTTAAGATATACCTATAAATAGGCAAGAACAGGCCCTACAGGACATCACATATCTTGTCCCAATAACAAGATGAAGATAAAGACAAAGTCTTTCCAATGCAGATTTTCTTTATCCCTAATTATTGATACACCGGCTTGACATATCGATACCTACCATTTCAATCTATCCCCGCATTCAGAATCTCTCGAACGGCGAAGATTATATTTCGTCCTGCCAATCTAGTTTCATAACTCAGCCAAATTATCTAAATAAAACTGCAAGATTTTATTGCAATGAAAAAAAATATGAAAGCTTTCAGATGACGGTGCTCAAGCTAATATCCTAATGCTGATATCGTATGTACATGAACATGAAAACTCTGAAAATAACATCATAACAACAATCCAACATGATACCAAGGCCCTGTATTACAAACACCTTAACCCCCCACCTGGGCCAAATCTTACCAAATCTTAATGATCAATTATTTGAATAACACATGAATTCAGAATTTTAAGCTTCATACAATAATTTGTGCAATGCTATAATAAAACGAAGGATTCTTACCAATCTCAAAGACACCATCAACAACTTCACCTCCTATCTTCCTCCTTGCTTGCAGAACCTTGCTTGACTCCCTTATCAATGATCACTTCACCCGAATAAGATTTTTCGGATGTTCTAAGAAGAAAGGGTCGCTCGCGTGTTTCTAGGCAACTTACTTTTATTGAGCCATAAGCTTATTTTCTCTGCGAGATGCTAGGCAACTGCACATTTAGCCTTAAAGACTATCAGCACAATTCAGCTATTGAACAGAATCGCACTGTCCGCACCCATTGCCGCCCGGCGACCAGAATCGTAACAAATATTGAAGGAGAAAGTGAATACGACTACTAAATAAAATAAGCCCCCAGTAAAATTATGACGGTGTGGTAAATTGGTGAGGAATGGAAGCTGATTAATTCTTTTTTAATGCTCTAATAACGAAACGATGAAGAAATGAAAAAATGTTGATGTTCTTATAATTCAAACAATCAAATGTTGCATATTAATTTTGTTTCTAGCATAAACAATAATCAAAAATGGGATGCGCCTTTGTGGATTTGAGACGTTGGCAGATCCAAGATTCTTACAGATAGGCAGATCTCTATCTGCGTTCTACATACAACAGTGAATAGCAAGAAGGCACTTGCGGCAGTACAGCTGCCATAAAACATTCCAGCATTCGTCAGCCGCGGGCACGCGTACCCTGATTCAGCCCTCGTGCGAGAAGAGTAAAAACAGTTCTCGCTTTAACACCAGACGATTCCTGCACAATCATTTATTAATGGGGAAAACGTTTATTTATCGATCAAAACTGGGTCAGCATTGTCAACAATCAACTCCAGGCATTATCAGTTTGCTAGCACTAGAAACTGCCCTGACCTGACCACAGCTTTGCGTTACGCTCAGCATCTTTCTACGTCCTGTCCAGATGCTGCTAGATGACGGAGATGGCAATTCGGAATTCAAGTAAGAAAAGGAGCCTTTAACTGAAGGTAGCAGGATAACTGAAATCTGAGCATAATCTACCGCACCATCGTCTGATGACGCAGGTAACATGTCCACGCGCCCTCCCCAGCAGATCGTTTCGTTTCTGTTCCGAGGCCGACGGACCCTAAAGTAGATCGGGTTGCGCGGCTAACGACAGTCCACATCGCGCACTAAAGATACTGCCCCGTCCGCTGATCCAACTAAAACCTACCAGAGCACTCGCTATGTCCTGCCGGCACGGAACAGCGAGTCAAAAACATCGGCATCACAAACATAAAGCATTATGGACCTCAGAACTGGTGGAACCGAAGGTACAATCTCCACCGCAGCAGAAAAGCTGGTGCTTTCTCCGCAGGAAGCGAAAACAGCGGCGAGGGTGAATTCTCAATTCATTCCCGCAAATGGCCGATCTGGGATGTCTGGGTCTTCGCTCTCCCAGTTCAGAGGAGTGTTTGGACACGATTGGTCGGCATTATTCGGCCTCACAAAGGCCGTGGTACGCTGTGCGCGGGTAGGTCAAACCGGTGAGTCGGAGTCACCCGTCCGAGTCAGTGAGTCCACAGTCGCCCCAGCAGCAGCGGAGAGCGCAGTGCTCCCGGGAGGAGAACGGGACGCCGCGGATGGGCGCCCTTATCTCCTCAGTTTCCTGCGAGACGGGGAAACACATGGTCATTGCGGTAGGGGAACGTCAGTCACAAAACATGACATCGAAAAGAAGGGAGGAATAAACAATGAAATTAAACATCACATTAGCATCACAAATATCGCCTACCATTCAGTTCGGCAACACTGGTGTTGCTATGTCAAAAGAAAAAGCTCAGTATGCAAAAAACTGTAACGAGGAAATAAGATATCTATATTATGATTTATAAGTCGTCCGTACGTGCGTCCATCCGTCAGGACTTATGTGTCTTATTGCGCCTGAAAGGCGCCGCGTATCGGCGTGAAATTTGGCATGCCGAATCTGTGGGTTGAGGCAGCCTCTGTATTAAAATTTGGGGGTGATTGGCCCAGGGGTGCGCCGTCAGCACGCGCTCGCGTGCGCCATAGGGTTAACACGGGAAACGGTCAAATCGAAGATCGGGCGAAAACCGGCCTGCGGCGCCCACTTCCAGGGCCCAAAACTCGGCGACAGATTGCCGTAGCGAGGTGGGGTTGCCACCACTGGATAGAGGAGAGATTTACCTAGCATATTGATATGGTTTCATAGTATAGCACGCGCCACGTGCAAGACAGCACCCCCGGTTGTCAAAAAATGACCGATTTCGTGCATTGTGACGGGAAAATCGATGCCGCTGGAAAACGGCTTGACGGAATGAAATCGGTGTTGTATCATTTTGCAGACAAATGTACGTGTAATGATAGCAAATTAAATAAAAAGTGATGATCCGTACCATTTCCTTAATAATGAAACATTAATTGGAAAATTTGATTCGCGCGGAGCGCGACGTCCTTTACAACATCAAAACGTATTGAAAACGCTGACCAATGGCTATGAAACCTACATATTCGGAAAGAGCATTCTTTTTTGACCAATATCCACCCAAAACATTATCGAAAAGTCAATAAACTTTTGTGAAAATGACTCAAGCATACGGCCGTGTTTCGTTAACGTTACAGGTATTTTTCGTCAAAATCCGATCGATGGCTTATGGCCGGCAGGCCATTCAAATTTTGACAATAGCTATCAAAGCATGGGCTTCAATGCACCGCCCGCCAAGGGGAATTAGAAAACACTGAAAATAAGCGCCTACCAGTAAACAGCACATTATTGTACTAGGAATAACTCGGCTACTACTGGGCCGATTAAGCTGAAACTTGGACTGTGGGTGGAGGGGGCACTCATCTGGCGATGCATGGTCATGTGTGACAGGTAGGGTGGATCGATTGCACGTGCGCACGTGAGGGGTCCGCTTCTACATCTCAAGAACGGCTGGGCCGATTTCGCTCAAATTCTGTACACTGTTAGGGACAATTTAGAAAGGTGACTGGCACAAGTCATCTGGAGTCTCAGTTCGCGCGTGCGCACGTGCAGTGGGCCGCTTTTATATCTCAAGAACGACTGGGCCGATTGCGCTCAGATTTGGTACATCGCTTCGATTGAGGGTGAGAAGGTTATGAGTAGGGTAAGGTACGCTATGTGGTGAAGAGTAAGGTATGAGTAGGATAGAGTGTGGGTAGTGTATGGGCAGGGCATGGTACGGTATTGGCAGGGTGGGTTATGGGCAGGGCAGGGTATGAGTATGGGCAGGGTAGAGTAGTTTGGGGTAGGGTAGAGTTGAGTGCAATAAGGGCCCAACTCACGAAAGGCTCTAACAACTCGTAACCAGCACCGAGACACCATACCGTTCAATTAAAACCAAACCTCAAACTTCACCTAGCTCATACAAATAAAAATGTAACCTCATACACCCAAACTAATGGCCCCATCAACAACATCTATCGAATCTATACAGTTATCGCGCAAACATGGCCATCTAGTCAGAGTAAAGAGGAACATAGGCAAAACTTGAACAGGGATATGAAACAATTCTACAGGGGAAGTGGAAACTTATCGATCAGCATGGTCACGATACCAAGATTCCTTTACTACTCAGGTTGGTTCACTAGGGCGCCGTGGTGACGTCACGATAAAGGGATTCTGGAGCTGGTGAACGGGGGCTGCATGATACTATTGTTCCGCCCAATAAGTAGCCGCACCCCCACACCCGCTACTCACTTGGTGAGGCTGGGCTCTGCGTAGGAGACGGGTTTCCGTCGCCGCCTGCCGACGGCTCGCTCCCCCGCCAGGTCCTCCGAACCAGGGCTGCTCTGCGGTGTCGAGCGGACCGGGCTGTCGGGCGCCGGCGGCCGCATCACCGCCCATGGCAGCGTCTCGGGCGAGTCGGGCACAGCGGCCGGCGCATCGGCCGCTGGCGGCTCCGGCGGCTGCGCGGCCAGCGCGGGTGGCTGATCGGGCGGCTGCTCGGGTCGGACAGTCGACTGCTCGGGCGGCTGCACGGGCGGCTGATGGGGTCGGACAGTCGACTGCTCGGGCGGCTGCTCTGGCTGGCTGGGCGGCTGCTCGGACTGAGCAGACAGCCCGGTCTCGACAGACGCCGGCGGCACACTGTCGGAGGCCTGCGTCGCGGCCGGGCGGGCCGGCGGCGGGCTGGAGCTCGCCCCGACTACTGTGGAAGACTCGGCGGCCGGCGGCGAGCCCGTGGTGGAGGTGGGCTCCGCCAGCTCCACGGGCCTGGTCGGCGACTCGGCGGAGACAGAGTCAGGCTCGGCGCCCGCCGGCCGTCGGCCGCCCGTCTCCGGCACCACTGCTGTCGACGAGGGCGCCTCGACGCAGTCAGCCGGTCCGCCGGCGGTGTCAGTGGGAGCGGTGGGGCCGGCGTCCCCCTGTCTGTCTGCCCTCCGCCGCGGCGATGGCGTCCGGCGCGACTGAGGAGACGCCAGCAGGGCCGTCCCGCCGTTCGGCTCCGGCGGCGCCGGCGACAGCTCCGGGTACACAAACAGCTCCGCGCCGGTACCCTCAGCGTCCCGCGCCGGCTCGACATTCATCGAGGGTCGCCCGCGGCCCCGACCCCGACCCCGACCGCGACCGCGACCGGCGCGATTCCCCTGGCCCTTGGGACGGCCGCGACCGCGCTTGGCGGCCGGGGGCGTCATCGTCGGCCCGCCGTCACCGCCGTCATCACCATCACCGCCCGCGCCGTTGGTGACGCTGACGCCATCGCCGGCGGCGGCGTCATCCAGAGTGCGCCGGCGCCGGCCCGGTTTGGTGTCCTCGACGGCGGGGGCGGGGGCGGGAGCGGGGGAGGGGGCGGCGGGCCGCCGAAACTCGGGCTCGGAGGAGTCCGCGGCGGCAGAGACGGACGATCGGTCCATCATCACCACCGGGGACGAGGACAGTTTGAAGTCCGGCTTCTCCTTCTGCTTGTCTTTTCGACCGCTCGGTGTCTCGGGCGTGGCCGGCCGGCCGGAGCGGGGTCGGGGACGCGGCCGCCGGCCCGCCGGTGAGGGCGCCGCCAGCCAGACGCGGTGGCTCGGTCCCTCCAGCGGATCGTCGGCGCACGCCGGCGCCACGCGACTGTTGGCCGCCGCCCGCGGCGACTGCGAGCGGGACGGAATGTCACAGGTCAGACACAATGTGGGCGCAGATACAGTCTGTACGGGGCATACTGGAGTCAGATCACTGTCACTTGCTGCAGTTAGACCATACGAGAAATACCCGGGATCATACATGCACCTTGTTACAGTGAGACAAATC